CTTTTTAACTACCTTGAACTACAGCTAAACTATTCTCTGAGCCTCAGTTTTTAATGCATAAAATAGAAATTTTATTACCTATTATGGTGAAGACTATTGTCAAGACTAAATGAAATGTGGAAAAACCCTGAGAAACTATCTGGAATATGGGTCAAAGAGGGAATCAGACTGGCCACTTAGATACCAAAGAACAGCTTATCCTATAAGTGACTAATGCATACTTTTCAAAAAGTAAAAAACTTGACCTTTATATAAATATAAAATGAACACATCAAATATTTCATTCAACTTATTAAGTAATAAACAGCAATATGTAAAGACTAAGTCAAAGGAGAATTTGAGGAATAAATATAGATAGATATAGATATATGTATATAGAGAGACAGGAATGCAGAAATGGATTTTCTAACATTAATAGATGTGAACATAGTGTCCTCTTGGGAAATACAATATAATGATGTTAGGGTTATCTTGTCAAGTTGGCAGAAATAAATTGTATCTTTACCAGTAAAAATTCATTTGCATTGCTATCCACAAGAATAGTTTTCTACACATTAACTTTTATCCCTACAGAATTGCAAAATAGCCAACAGAAAAATCAATGAAAAGGTGCATACTCCCATAGCATTTGATGATCCTCCAAGAGTTCAGTGGACTATGTTTTGCCCTCTACTAAAAGGACACTTGTAATTTCATTCCCATTTCCAAGTCATGGGCAATTTTTCTTCTACAAAATTATCTACTATGTATTTCAGCCTATGTGTACATGTAGCTGAATAGAAACAATTTGAAATGCAGAGGCTCACATACATCCACTTTAAATGCTATGCAGGGCAGTACGTTTGCTTGCTTGCTTTGCGTTTACGTGTTTGTGTCTTGTAAGGATGAATAGGTAGGTAGGTGAACTATTGTTGTAGAATATTATTCTAATATATCAAGTGGTGGGGATTATCACTTTCTCCTTCACCCCTTATCCTGGATATTAAACTTTATTCTCATTCTATGAGGAGGTTGAAGTTATAGAGTAGAATACAGAGGAATAAAAAAATAATAATAACCTCTTTTGGACTTTTGTCTTCCAAAAGCGAAGTCTTTGAAGGAACATGGAGACACCTATGAGTGACAGCAGCAGGTTGTAGGAGAAAGGGATGTTCCTGGGGGACTAGAAGAAAAGCTTCCAGGTTGCAAGGAGGGCAACCAGAAGCGAAGTCGTGAGCAGAGGCACAGGTGGGCCACAGCAGAGGGTCTTGCCCTGCTTCCCAGGCAGTGCCACCAAGAGGAGGGAGGTCCCTGGAAACAGGAAATAGCTGAGAGGGAGTTTAGGTGGATGGGCCATAGGCAGACATATGGGGATCTCTTATTCCTAGCCTGAGAAGGAGAGGGCAGAATCATCCCTTGCCTTCCCATGTGGAACAGGAAAAGCAGAGAGAAAGCTACTAGAGCTGAAAGGAGAAAGAGGAAACAATGAGAAGACGCTTAGGAGCAAATCTCAATAACCACAAACATTGTCATTCTTCAAGCCTTATGTTCCCAGAGCAGCCTGATTTCATGACCCTCCCTGTAACTGGACCAATGAACAGAGATTATGTCAACCACCTGGTGAAATGTGGGTTGGGAGTCTTCAAAATTAAAATTAAGTTTGAAGGCAAATTTATATTTTTTGCATACAAGCTGTGGGCTGATTTATGCACATTACATTTAAGATTGCTGTGGCTAGAGAGATTTAGCGCCCCCGGCAGACCCAAAGGCTGTCACCTCTTAGGATCCGCACTGCTGAATTTCTTTTATTGTCAATATCAGAAGAGCTTAGTCACAAGCCCTTGGAATCTTAGAAAATTTTTTCTTTCTAAGACCCCAGAATCACCTCAAGATTTAACTCTAGGGTCAGGCCACCCCAGGATGGGTTCACCCTTCAAGTGTCTGGGGACCACTTGGACTTTTGAAACCAGGTCATGACCAACAGGGGTATAAAAAGATCCAGTCACATTTAGGATTCCAGATAGATTGCCAAGTAAATTGAGAGACAAACTGCATAAATGCCTACCACAGAGTCTATGCATTCAAGATGTCTGGAAACAGATCTTAAGCAACAGGACTAAAAGCACTTTATGAACATTTTTTTAGAGCCTCTAATTTTTACTTACATTGCTGCCTTACTATGGCTGCTACTATAATCCCATGAACATGAAAAAGGTTACCCTGAGTCAAGCTATGAGCCATCTATAGCTGAGACTGCCAATGGTCATCAAAATCCGCATTCTGCTCTTTCCTGGGAGCAGGGCCAGACCACATTTCCCAGCCTCCCTTATGGTAAGTGTGGCCACATGACTGAGTTGCAGCCAATGTGATTGGGATGAAGCAAAATATGCCACTTCCTGACCTGTCCCATAACCATCCCACAGGCCCTCTCTCCTTTGGCCAAGGAGAAGGTGGTGACCACAGTGGCCTTGGGAGCTACGATCTGAGAATAGTAGCACTTGGGTCACATCGGTGTGGACATCAAACTTTAATTGAGTAGTGTGGTCCCTGCCAATGCCCAGGCCACTTTCTGGTTTCTTGGGTAGAAGTACTAAAAGTATCAGGGATATTGGGGGCCACGGTCCCTTCTGTTGAGCCTTCTAAATGGAAGAACTTACCTCAGTCAGACTTGTAGCTTGTGGCCATTGAACCTTTCCTCTTAGCTCCATGAATGTCATTTCATCATTAGTAATAATATTCCTGCAGGAAGACAAAAGAGAGATGCTAAAATTTTGTACCATATGCTTTCTCTTTTATAGGTGGAAATAAACAAGATTCAGGTTAATTTGCCTAATCCTAGTGGAGCCAATTATCCACACCACCCAGGCTCAGTGAGTGACTGACATATATCACTGAAATGAAAGTTGAGGATGTTTCATTAGACAACGAACATCCAAGCCCCTATCTTTGTACAAGCCAGCTCGTTTTTTTCCCCATCTTCTTTATTTGGTACATTTCCTGTGTTTGGTACATTTCCTATGGTGAAACTAAGTATGAAGCATCAGGGACTGTGTGTGCCTGGGCATGGAGGAGAATGTGTTTTAACCATAGCATAAATACCTAACTGTGCATGACTCATACAGGAATGTGACAAGAGCAATGAGAAGCAGAAAAGAGGCTCCTCTGACGTCTGATTACTCTTGGGTTCATTCTTGTCACATATTTGTCATATGGCACCAGCAGCAAGAGCTTGGGGCAGTACAGGCAGACTCTCTGAGGCTGCGCTACTATGTAATGTTTCTGAGACTCAAAAGCTATTGGTCTTTCTCTTTTCTGGACCACTGTCCCTCAGGAGAGTAGGTAAGTGTCCTCCGAGGCAGGTAACACATACTAACTTGGGCAATCCAGCAGTCCACAGACCCTGCTTGCATAACCTGCCAGTGCCTGGGTGTTATTCCTGTCACCAGAAGGAAGGGGCTGGGAGCACAAAGTAAATACAGTTTTCCCTCTTCAGCCACAAGGGATTTAATTCCCCAAAACCCTCTTGATAGAAAAATTCACAAATAAATGACTCAAAGCAACATGAGGCATTCAGGCCAATAGTAATCAGTGCTCTCTCCTGCCTCTTCCTCCCTCCATTCCATGTCTTAGAAGGAAATAATCCTACACAGGTTTACCTCCCAACTCCCAATGTAATAGCCGTGGAAGAGAAAGACCGGTGGAAAGCTTTTAAATAGTTCTGCTTTGATGACAATTAACAACAGTTAGGAGAAATGCAATAAAAATTCTGAGCTTGAGACACAAATTGGGCTGGATGCACTGGGTATTAAGGCCATCTCTTCACTAGCCCAAGGACCTTGTCTTATACCTCCAGCACTCCCTGGGATGGAAAAAATGGGGACCCTCACATATGCAAATCATGGTTATGAGAAGCATTATCTTGTCCTCCTCTGAAAGCCACATCATTCTGGAGTACAACCAAACCCTGCCCAAGGGAGCTGAGAACCAGGAAATGAGGCTCTGGAAATAGAGATCATTTCTGACTTTTTGCTTTTGTTTGTTTGTTTGTTTTTGTCTATTGCTCCAATAAATGGGCTTCTTTTCTGTGTGCCTGATATTAAAGAAGTCTTGATTCAGGAAAAACAGGAGGGTGGGCTTGGGAAGACTCAACAGACTGCAAATGATTGACACTCTCCAATAAACCATGTCACCACAGTGTCGTTTGATGATACTAGGAAGAAACAGACCTCTGATGATTGGTGCATTGAGAGAATAAGAGTTAAGGAGTAAACAAGCCTCGGTGGTTCAGGACTGGGACCCTGTGGTCATCATCTGCATAATAACACATGCCTCAGTAACAAACCCAAGCCACAGCATGACTTCCCTGCTACCCTAGGAAACATTAGTCCAGCAAAATGATTTGTCTCACTTTATAAGTGGAAAAACTGAGGCATAAAGAGGGTACATGGCTCCCCCAAAGTCACTTGATGAAGATAATGCAGTCATGATGAGAAACCAAATCCACTGCCTTACTGGAATTCTTGATGGGTTAATACCCCTTATTGTACCACAGGTTATAATGTTAGTTGGGTTTTGAATGTTGTTTTTTTGTTATTTTCCTTTACCATTTTTAAATCATGGAATCATTTTTAAATATCCAGTGCAGTAGCATTAAGTACACTCACATTGTGCAACGATCCATCACAGTAACTTTTTCATCCGCTCCAGTTGAAACTCTGCACTCATTAAACCATAACTTCCCTTTCCGCCACTCCTCTAGCCCCTGGATGTTATTTTACAGCAAAATGAAATCTGGGCTTCTGAGCTTGTTTCACAATCAAAAAACGTAATTATGTGCAGGAGAGAGGGAGCAGGGGAAGAGGTCAATCAGAACTGATTGTACTTAGAAAATGCTGTGTGTGTGTGTGTGTGTGTGTGTGTGTGTGTGTGTGTGTGTGTCTTTAAAAGACTCTCCACCTCCCAGCCCGCCTCCTCAACACTTTGCCACTGGGTTGTTCATTCCCCAGTTTCCTGAGTCCTCCGAAGGAGCCAGCATGAGCGATCTCCCTTGCAGTTTTAGAAGCAGGTTCGTTGCCATGGAGTTCACATTCTGAGTGGAGTTGAGGACTATAAAGGTTAACAGTTTGGTTTTGGTTTCAAAGATCTGGCAAAGAGATAGGCTGCTGCTCTTCTTCTGGAAAAGCCTGATTGGTAAGATTCCTTTAAGGGCTCGGCCCCAAAGTGTTTTATCCCATCCCCTCATACTCTTGAAAACTAAAGCTTGTGGAGACCTCTGAAGGAAAACCTGCCGGGTTTCTCTCACTGCACACCAATGGCTAATCCTGGAGGTGGTACAGTCTGCAATGGGAACCTTCACAAAAACCAGAAGCAGAGCAATGGCTGTCAAAGTGGAAACTGCACAAAGAATGGAATAGTGAAAGAAGCCCAGGTAAGAGGCACTTCCCTCACCCTGCTCTGAATGATCAGAATGTTTCAATATTTCTTTGTGAAGCTGTTTGAGGCTTTTCTAACTTAATGTTCCTCTTAGGGGTGTTTTTATGTGTTTCGATTCTTCACTTCAGCTCGTATCAAATGCTTGGCTACCAAAAAGTTTAGATGTGGACGAAGGAGAAAATTTTTTCTCTATACACAGATCCAGACAGCATTAGACTCCCTAAAAGACAAACATACCTACTAGACTTCTGTTTTCTCTTGAGCATTTTGGGGGGCAGGACTGTGAAGGCTCCAACTCTTCAGCTAAATTTCAGTCCATCAGGAGAACTGCCACATTCATAATGCTTCAGAGGGAAAAGAGGGAGTCAAAGTACATTTTGCTGAGATTATGCGGTAGAGCGGTGGAGATGGCATTCTTCCCAGGGACATGAGAAATGCCTCTCTGGTTGAAAGGCGAGTTGTTTTTGGTGTTCAGTGGAGCATTGTCATAGCTCACAATTTGACCTGAGTCCAGAGTCCTTTGGAATTTGACATCATAGACATTCCTTTCCAAAACTCTTCAGAAAGCATGGTTTATTGTGACACACTGCACAGAGAAACCAAAACAACATCTTTTAAATAGACTTTTAAGTGTTTCCCCACTTGACACTTTTTTTTTTTTTTTGCTCCTGCTGTGTCGGAATGTTTGAGGGATGTGCTGAGGAGGAGCAGGAGGAACTCAAGAAATGTTGTCAGCTTATTCCAAGAGGGAGTCTGGGTCTGGGAGGTCCTCCTATGAAGGCAGTTCCCCACTTCCCACGGGATGCCCTGTTGCTCTGCTCTGAGCAGCAGGGTATGAATCACCTGCCTCATGAGCAAACTCGAGTAGCCAAACAGGTAGCCTCCCTGTTGGGAAATGGTAAGCCACACAGGGAAGCCCGTGCAATCCTCCATCATTTGATCATCTTCAAGAGCTGGCACCTGCCCAGGGGATAAGCGAGTTGTTCTCACATCACAGGAGAGGAGGGGCTGGCCAAGACTAGTCCCACACACAGTCACTTGAATGAATGGGCCCAATAGGGAGAGGCTGGAGGTGCTCTGGAGCCTGGGTTGTGTGCAAAAAGGCAATGGCCCCAAATTGTATTCCTCTTTTAACAAAAGGCATTGCTCTAGCCTGGGAAGTGTCAACCAGAAACCTTGGCCCTGGCTTCTCCCAGCTGATTACCTGAAACCTGGAACAATGTGAAGAGAAAATGTTCAACTCCTGTGATTTGCATGAGGGAAATTGCAATAATGTCCACCACTTATTCGTCACTAAATGTCAATTCAGACCACTGCCCAAGATGTTCCTTGTCCCTGAAATGCCTGTAACTCACTGGCTACTCACCTACTCACCCTTGGGATCATTCTGTCCCTGAGGGCTCTCATTTGGGCAGAGATGCCATCATAACTTTCTTTATTGGATCCTGGTTTTATGATCACATTCTAGTGTTTGAGGTTATAAATGCAGATATAACCACTCCCAAGTAAGGATGGAACCCAAGATCATAAAGCTTCATTACTAAGGGCGCCGACAAGACTGTTAATGTCCTTGGACGTTGAGACTTCCCTAAAAGCAGCTGAAAATATCAAGACTGCTGTTGCTTTTTCTGACAGCTCTTTCTGAAGGGCCATCCAGAGCCTATTGGCTCGGACATATTTAGGTGTTACTGAGTTGAAATTGGCTTCCACTGAGAGCATCAATTATGGCTTTAAAAATACTTTCCAAAAAGAATAAACCCTGCTGAGGTCATAGTGGAATTGGGCAGACAAGGGCTTATTTTCCCCCTGTGTGTTGTGATGAAGTTGTCTTTATTCTCATGCTAAAAACACTCAGCCACTAGTTTTACTCCATTTTATATTGGGCCCTTTAACAAATTAAGTCTTGACCAAAAAAAAAAAAAACAACTTTGCCTGTTGATAAAAACAATCCGTAAAGGCTTACAGATACCCTAGGCTGGTGGTCTTCCAAACACGTTCTCCTGGGCTGAGGTCCTGTGGTGCAGCCTCTGAAATCCTACCAGCTCCTCCAAAGGTCCCCTCCCTCTTTCTATTCCTGCTTACTTGCAACCACACAGCAACACAGTTATTTCTTTTACATATTGGGGTGCTCCCTAAGATTCTGTTGACAAAGGTTTCCCCGGCATAACAAACAATGTGAAAATCACTGCGAGGCAGTTGCTGAGGAATCCTCCTTCCCTTTTGTTCCAGGGAAGGCTGGTGTCAATACTCTGTCCGGTGCTGGCATGCAGGTTTGCTTTCCCTATCTCAATTCTGGCAAGGGGCCAGGACTTTTCCATTCTAGAAATCTTCTAGCGTTCCTTTCTGGAGCTTTTTTGGAGCTTGACCGTATCGCCTGTTTTATTTGTTGTTTTTTTTTTTTTTCTCCTTTAAATCCCGTATGCCCTGAGGATGTACTGAAACTGGTTTTCATCAGAGATTAAGTCCATTTCTCTGTTTACTTCTAATATGTCATCCTACCTTTTACTTCTAATAGAACACTCTTGTACTAAAGGATTCATTCTCCCTCCTCATGAGCATATCCACATTACAAAGTCCTTAATATCTTAATCCATAAATTTGATAGTTCTTATAATTGTCTATGGAATTAGTAATTTTCCTATTGAATAGGAACTTTCTATTGCTTAATTCCATACAATTAACTTGTAATGATTATCCACATAATTGCTTTTTAATTCCCAGCAATTATTTTTAACCTGGCCATAATTTTTTATTAGAAAAACCTGAACCTAGAGGGTAGCCCTTCTCTCTTCATTGCTTATAATGCTGGGAGTAGTTTTGTTAAGATAATGGGATCTGCATTTTATTCTATTAAACTGAAACTACAGGATGAAGAAACATTTGTAAGGTTTTCCTAATCCTTCTTTTGCTAGAAAATAAAAAATGTTCTGGAGTTAGAGTTACTCTGATTAAAGTTTATTGAGTTCTTGGCCTTAATTATGTAACATTATCAGGTAGAGGGTAGTGAGCCCTAAGAGGTTGTTTTTGTTTTCTATCATTCCTTCATTCTTTCACCAATATTTATTAAGAATTTGATATTCTTGGAACATGTAAAGATAAATAAAAAGTTGACGATTCAGCTATTAAGAGAAAGCTTGTGTCAAAATTAAAACAATGTTAAAGTTAAATGCTAGTGCAAGAGCTGTCAAAAACAGATATGATTTGAGGACAAATGAGTGGTATAGATATTATGTACCAGAAGTTAGAGAGAAGGAAAAAAATAATATATATCATTGTTCTGCTATGTACCACAATGGGCTAAGCACTTTACGTAAATGTCTCCTGTGTCTTCACAACAGCTCCATGAACTGGTAGCATCATGCCCATTATACAGATGAGGAAACATCGATCATTAAGGAACTTATGCAGAATGATAATCAGCATGGCCAGGATTTGAACCCAAATCCATGTTTCTCCAAAGCCATTTCCTTTTCCACCAATTTCTAGGAAACCACAGGTTGAGTTGGTCATTGACAGTCTCACAGAACAGGGAAAACTCAAATTGAGTCTTGAGACATTGGAAATGGCAGAGAATATGGGGAGCTTATTTCTGAGGGCTGAATGAAACAACGAAGTGAAGGGAGCACTAGAGATAAATGTAAGAGTTGCTAGATAAAGAGCATAAGAAATGTCATTGAGCATTTCAGGAAGGAGCAAAAAAAAATGCAAAAATAATGAGGCACAACAGATTATAGGACTTTCAAGAAACTTCTCTCAATTCAGTAAGGCTCCATCGTAGAGAGGGAGAGATAGAGAGAGTGCTGTGGCTGAGGTGGTGCTCAGTAGATGCTGGATGAAGAGAAAGAACTAAACCAGATGATTATGCCAATACTTTCCAGTTCTAGAGCCATTTAAGCTGAACTTCTGTCCTCCCCATCCTTCCGTACCCTCTTGAGGTCAGCAGTATCCTGATACAGCTACTCCTCTATTATGGTATAAACTTCTTCTACAGAGTGAGACCCATGATTGATAGTTTAATTGCACAGAGTGGTAGCTGCCTAACAGGCCATTGTAAATACCAGGGTTTTAGGCAGTGCAACTGATTAAAATAGAGATCAATTTTCTTACCAATTATTGGGAGAATTCATAAACTAAAAGAGGTTTGGAGATCCCTTTCAATTGCTCTGAATTTCCTATTCTTATCTTCCTCAACCATCCTCTACCACCTTTTATTTCTTGGCTCCTGTTTCCCTAAAACAATTCCCAATATGATAAGGCTTCTCTGTGATCTCCCTGAGGAGTCTCCATTTTTTATGGGCTCATCATTGCAAAGCATTCTTGTGTGTCAGGTGCTGCAGTCATTAAGATGAAACTGTTCTCCCTCCATTTGTAAATAGTTCTCAATCTAAATGGGAAAGACAGACAAGTAAACAAGTAATTATAGTATTTAATGGTAAGTACTTTAATAAACGTTGCCCAAAACTCAATGGCTTAAAAAAACTACTGCATTGCACATGATTGCTGTGGGCCAGAAATTCAGGCAAGGTGTGGTGGGGATGACTCTTTTCTGCTCAGGATTCCCTGAGGATCCAAGATGGCTCTGCTCACGTGTCTGGGATCTTGGTGCTGGCCATTGCCCAGGGCATTTCATGGCTTCTTTGCAAGGCCACCCTCTGCATGTGGTCTCTCATTTCTCTACAGAGTAGCTCAAGCTTCTTTACAGGATAGCTGTCTTTTAAGAGAGGGAAAATGGAAACTGCAAGGCCTCTTATGTTCTAGGCACACTTCTGCTACCTTCTGTAGTTAAAGCCAGTCACAGTCCAGCCCAGATGCAAGAGGAGTGGAAACAGACTCTGCTTTTTAATGAGAGGAGCTGCAAAGTCACATTGCAAAAGGTCGTGAGGGATTGGAGGGACTACTGCTACCATCTTTGGAAATGGTCCATCACAATAGAGATATATAGACCTTGCATGGGAACACAGAGGAATGGGCATTTGACCTATGCTGGGAAGGCAA